GGTGCCAAAGATGAAGGGAGCTTCAAGGCACATGCACCCTATCTCGGAGAAGCATTTGACAGAGGAACCAAGGCGACTCAACTTGCAGAAGCAAAGTTGGGTTCATAAGGCTTTGGAATGGAACAAGAGGACGCGGAGGTCGGTACTCTTGAAGAATATGCCACAATACTGTCATTCAAGTTGCCATGAAGGAAGCGGTGCGTAGCGGAGATTGTGTTGGTGGGGCAAAGGCCCAGGATCTAGACAATAGCGCATTATTTTCAACAAGGTCGGTGGACTTCAAGAGCTACTAGGCGACGGACTATCCTAGAACGGTGCTTCATTTGGGTGTGATCAAAAAGCAGGTGGACGAAAGTTGATTGCCAAAGAAGCGAACATAATCGAAGGTGGAAGAAGCCCTGCGATGTGTTGGCAGAGGCCACACAAGAAGGGATCACAATCCGAGTTCATCCTACAATGATCAGAATGTAATGGAGATGCTACCAGGAGGCGACATGGTGCAGCAGATCGTGGTGGAATAATTCGTGACAATGCGATATACACAAAACTAGTCCCGCGAGGGACTAGATCATACGAAGATATGATTGGGAGCTCAACTTCGGTAAATAATACGATGACAAGACATCCTTGGTGTCTCAAGTTTAAGGACCAGATACAACACTAGGACAATTGAATCACTGTTTGACAATTAGATATAATCAACAATCCAACGTTTCATGAGCGGATCAATTAGTGAACTCATTCTCTAATGAGCACCTGCGTTGTATCCCTAGTGTCCCCACACGAGTAACTATGAGACATGTGGCCTCCGTTATATGGATGGATGTACAACATCCTGGTCTATTTGGTCATCTCGATGTCCCTCTCGAGTAACCTTTAACTCCATCTCGAGTAACCTATGACTGAGATTATTTAGGGTTTATATTTAAAAACGAATCTGTCTCATTATCGTGATCTTATCACGATCCAATTTCTATTGCATAGATCTATAGACATCACAATACATACAACAAATAATATAAAGTGAAAAAAATATCAAATAAAAAATTAATAAAAAAATATGTATCATGACACCCATTCAATCACACATATGATTGGCTTGTAGGGTACCTATGATTAGCACGAATGAGCACTCCCCCAATAGTGAACGAAGATGCTTCATTCTATAGGATGATTTTATGTTCTCCGAATAGGGAGAAATCTATTTCGCACTAGCAACAATGGATAGAGTGATATTCCTCAAATGTCAAAGTAGGGATACATTTCTCCTAATAGCGGATGGAGGACATCTAACAACCTACTAATTCCTGAAAGAAATCACCCTATCTGCCCTTTTTAAGGAAACAAAATCATCTTATATTGATAATTTCCATCGAGATAAAATAACATATTAAAACATCTTAATTTATCTTTTAAATATTATTATTATCAAATAATATCAATTAGTCTTTAATTGATTTGAATCATTATTTAATCGATCTAATTGAATTAGATTTAACTATAACATAATTGAATTAATTTTTAATTCTCATTTAATCGATCCAAAATCATCTTGTACTAATATAATTTAGATTAGATTAAGTTTAATTTACGTTAAATAGATTTAAATAAATCAAATCTATTCAGAATCACCTTCAATCGATTTAAATTTATCAAATTAGATTTGGCTTAATTGAACATAAATAAAATAAAATAAAGGTAATAAGTTAAACTTTATAGTAATAGGATAGATTAAGCTAACCGATATATGCATGACTATGCATGTACCTTATCATTATGTTAGCTCGTAGCCTATGGACTAATCATGTGCATTGCCCATGTTGGATCGAATTGAACTAGCAGCTAGGCTTAGCCTTTTGGTTGAGTCTAATCTACGGGTTGTGGTTTAGCTTGTGGGCAGAGCCTAAGCTAAGAGCCTGATTTACTAAGCAGATTTCAACCTAAATCTTAATTATTTTTTTAATTTTAAATTATAGCATCATGAAATTATAATCAAAACACTTAACTATTACCAATGAGTCATTAAAACATAATAAATAGTTATAGATTAAAAATATATAATTACGTTGAAGGGAAATTAATATTTTTACTCAACTATTATACAAATTTAATCGAAATTGAATATTACAACTAGTATGGTGCATGCAAAATACAAATTTTAAAAATTATTATACTATGAATAATTATAATATATTTTAATCAAAAAATAAAAATTTAAGTACTTGAATAAATAGAGAAAATATTAGAAACTATATATAGTATGAATAATTATAATATATTTAATCAAAAAATAAAATTTTAAACACTTAGAGATAAAATAAAATATTAATTTTTTAAAAAATATAGAAGCGAAAGGAAACATCTTATTAAATAAAAAGAGCCGAGCCCTTCAAGGTAATAAATTTTTTAATTTTTATAATTCTTTAATATATATATATAATTAATAAAAATAATATCACTAACTTAAAATATTGAGTATTTATTTTATAAATTTTATTCATAAGAAAAGAAAGTGAATAATTATACTTAAAGATTTGAGTAAAGATGAAATGGTCAAATTAGTATTTTAAGATCATTTTATCCATATTTTTGATATAAATAATTTATTCCTATAATTTTGTATTTCTTGTGCATAGTGAAGGTTATACACACTACGGATAAGGAGGGTTGTTGTAATTAGGGTGCCGCTGTGGCTGCTCTCGTCCCACAATGGTTGCTGCGACGCTCCGCTCCATACTCCGTCGTAATAGTCTTCTGCCCTTGTTCGAAACCTGTCGCCTTCGAGATCTCCTCTTCTTCTCCTCCTATGTCGACATTGCTTTCGCCGTATGCGGCACCACATCTCCTGATCCCCACTTCGTGATGGAATACCTCGTGAACTCCTGCGGATTCTCCCCCTCCGAGGTAGCCAAGTTCTCTAAACCCATTACTTACCTCCGATCCACCGATAAACCCGACGTCGTCCTTAACTTCATGAGATCTCAGTGCTTCAATGGTGTCGGTATCAGGAAGCTGATATCTTGGAAAGCCAGTTACCTATGCATGAATGTGGAGAAGAACTTGGCCCCGAAGTTTCTTTTCTTACTCGATTTGGGCCTATTGGAGTCGGATATCGTCGATGTCATCTTGAAGAACCATGTCATCCTCCTCCTCAACGTTCACCATTCCTTCGTTGCCAAATTAGAGATGTGGGAAAGTCTCTTGGGATCGAGAGAGCTCGTTCTCAAGCATCTCAAGAAGACAGGATGGTTTTTCTTCTTCAGCTTTGAGAAGACATTGCATCCTAACCTAAAGTTCTTGAGGGATGAGTGCGGCATTCCTGAAAAAAGGGCCTCTCTCGTCTTGAGAAGTCACCCACAATTAATCTCACAGAAACCAGAGTCACTA